AATAAAATATCATAAAAAATTAAAAATAATATCATTCTTATTTTAAAAAGTAATTTATTTTAATTTTTTATAAACATTTATTAAAATTATATAATTTTAAAATATTTTTTACTTAATTTTTTATAAATATAATTGATAAATATATTTTTATTAAAGTAAATGAATAAAAAAATTCTTTTTATTTTTTTTATATCAATCTCTCGATATCTGATAATCACATTAAATATCAATTAATTCAGAATCGAATCACGTCAAACCCTATTAACAGGGAAGCTCTTTCAATACTTATTTCTTCATTTACAATACTTTAATTTAAGATCTTATTTAAGAAAAATCGATTTTTTTACTCAAATCAACAAATTATTAATAATTTTTTTTGTATATTTATTTTCTTGTTCAACTATCATAAAATTTAAATTTAATATTTTTAACTTTAATTACATAAAACACTTTACTTAAACCAAGGGAAGTTCTTTGAAAAAAAAAAAAAAAAAAGGAAAGCTCGCTGGCTTGGGGTTCGTATCGTACTAGGATGTTCATGAGTTCTATGGGACTCTTAGGGTTGGGTGTTTGTACTTCTTCCATCCACTTTTTCTTTTCTTCTCTTTTTAAAGGGAACTTTAAAATTTCTCTAGTACGAAGTAGTAGCAGCAAATTTTCCTCTTTTTTTTTTTTGGTTTTTCATGTAAGAGTGTTAAATTACAAGAAAATTATTTTACAAAATAAATTATCTATAGTTTATTATATAAAATTTTTTAAATATCTTTTATTTTATTTTTTATATTATTTTATCAAAAATATTTAAATAATTTTACAAAATAATTATATACAATTTATTTTGTAAAATAATTTTTTATTAAATAATACTTATTTAACTTAGATTAAATCTTTTTTAATCTTCAAACTTTTAATTTTAAGTATTTTTAATCTATAATTTTCTACATTTTTTAATTCATTATACTTTTTTTTTTTTTGGCACTTTTTTGCAAATAGCCCCTTAAAACAAAGAAGGAAACCACCAAATGTGGGAAAGGGGTTATGTCAGATAATTTGGTATGCATTGTTGCAGCGCATGTTAAGGCAATGAAGAGGCTATCCAAATTCCAAACCCACCATAGGTCCATACTCCATCTACCTTTACTTTTAAGGTTGCGCATGTGAAATGATGTAAATTAGATTATTTCTTTGTGCTCTTCTGACAAAATCCTTTAAAACGGAAAGCAAAATTCCACACGTGTATGGAAGTAATCCAGCCACGTTTG